ATAAATGGTTTATGTCCCACTCATGAGAAAAATTAAAGGTGACACCAATAAATGGAAATCTATCCCATGCTTATAGATAGGAAGAATTCATATTGTCAAAATTGGCCATTCTGCCCAAAGCAATTTACAGATTCAATACAATCCTATCAAAATACCAACAGCATTCTTCAAAGAACTAGAACAAATAGTTCTAAAATTCATATGGAACCACAAAAGATCCCAAATAGCCAAAGCAATCCTGAGAAAGAAGAACAAAGCTGGGGGGATTATGCTCCTAACTTCAAGCTCTACTACAAAGCTACTGTAATCAAAACAGTATAGTATTAGCATAAGAACAGATAGATCAATGGAACAGAATAGAGAGCCCAGATACAAATCCATACATACATGGTCAATTAATAAACAATAAAGGAGCCATGATTATATAATGGGGAAAAGACAGCCTCTTCAACAACTGGTGTTTGGAAAACTAGACAGCCACATGTAAGAAAATGAAACTGGATTATTGTCTAACTGCATACAGAAAAGTAAACTCAAAATGGATCAAAGACCTGAATCTAAGTCATGAAATCATAAAACTCTTAGAAGAAAACACAGGCAAAAAACTTCTTGAGCATAAGTATGAGTAATTTTTTTCCTGGAAATATCTCCCCAGGTAAGGGAAACAAATACAAAATTAAGAAATGGGATTACTTGTGAGATGCCCTCTCAAAAGAAAAAAAAAAGAAATGGGGCTACATGAAACTAAAGAACTTCTGTACAGCAAAGGACACCATCAGCAGAACAAAATAGGTATCCCACAGTATGGGAGAATATATTCGTTTAATGAATTACCTGATAAGGGGCTGTTAATCCAAAATATATAAAGAAATCTTATGCCCCACATCCAAAAAACAAATAACTCAATTAAAAAACAGGTGGAGGATCTGAACATACATTTTTCCAAAGAAGAAATACAAATGGCCAACAGGCACATGAAAAGATGCTTCACAGTATAATCATCAGTGAAATGCAAATGAAAACCGCAGTGAGATAGCACCTCACACCAGTTAGAATGGCCACTCTCCAAAAGACAAGAAATAACAAGTGTTGGCCAGGATCTGGAGAAATAGGAACCCTCCAACACTGCTGGTGGGAATGTAAATTGGTGCAATCACTGGAGAAAGCAGTATGCGATTTCCTCAAAAAAATAAAAATAGAAATACCATTCAATCCAGTAATTCCACTTCTTGGAATTTACCCAAAGAAAAAAAAATCCCTGATTGGAAAAGAAAAGACACATGCACTCCTGTTTATTGCCACACTATTTGCAATAGCCAAGAAATGGAAGCAACCTAAGTGTCCATCATTAGATGAATGGATAAGTAAGATGTGGTACATATACACAATGGAATATTATTCAGCCATAAATAGAAAACAAATCCTGCCATTTGCAACAACTTAGATGGATGTAAAGAGTATTATGCTCAGTGAAATAAACCAGGCAGAGAAAGACAAATACCATATGATTTCACTTATTTGTGGACTATAAAAACAGAGCAAAACAGAAGGAACAAAATAGCAGTAGATTCATAGACACTGAGAAGTGACTAGGGGTTACCAGGGGGAAGGGTTGGGGCAGGTGGAGGTAGAGGGTGAGGGGGATAAAGGGGTACAATAATTTGCAATCACAATATAAGTTGGTTGCAGGGATGGTAGTACAGCATGGAGAATATAGTTAAAGATTCTGTAACATCTTTCTATGTTGACGGATAGTAACCATAGTAGAGGGGGTAAGGATTTAATAATATGGGTAACTGTTGAACCACTGTGTTTTACTTTTGAAACCAATATATGATCATATATCCATGATACTTCAATTAAAAAAATAAATGGTCTATTTCCTATGTGTTTATTAAGTTCATAGAAAATGTTTTTTCCCCCCTTTTCCCCACAGGTGATCTGTGAGATCATCTGAGAAATACTGGTTTTGATTAACCTTTAGTTATGCTTTACCAGGTGATTTTGGGTGCCCCGTTATGTAGGAGTGGGGTTGCAGCATACTACCAAAATATTACTGTAGCAGTTGTGGTGGTGATGGAGATTCATGCTGTGGAAGCTTAAGTCTCTCTGACCAGGCCAGAAGTAGTCTGTGTTTCCTCACCCTGTCACGGACCCATGACCTACCTGGCTCTTCCCTGAAACCCCACCATGGCTGTAGTCACTGAGGGCTCTTGTCTGATGCTTCCCCCTACCCATTGCATGGCTGGCTCCTGTCCCTCCTCTGGTCTCAGCTTTAAGAGTCACTTCCTTAGATAGGTCCTCCTGACCAATGAATCTATCACAAATTCTCCTATCATCCTAATTCTAGTGCCTGCATCCTTTTCTTCATAACACTTGTCATGAGCTAAGGGAATATGTATGTGTGTATCACTACCTGACTCTTTAAAAGGTCTATTAGGGCCAACACTGTACCTTCTTTGTTCACTGCCACTCTAGCCTATCTAATAAGGGCAGAAACAGGCACACAGACTCGAACACACACAAATTAAGAAATGATTTATGCATCTACTTTAAATTTCTTCTATTCTTGACTTGAACTAGTATTTCATTCATTCTGTGTCTAGTGACTGGGCATCTACTATGAATCAGGCACTGTTCTTGTTGCTGGGAATGCAGCAATAAAACACACAAAAATCTCCCCCCACAGGCTGCTTTTACTTTTTTACTCAGCGCGCACTTGACCAATGGGCGGTAGATACTAGTGGATAAAGACTCCCTTCTTCCATCTTGGGTACTATGCAAATCCTCAGATGGCCCCAGTGGGACTGAACCCTAGTTGTTCCCAGAGGTGACCCCCTAGATTACACATCCTGGTATGAGCTTTCTCTCCCTATTTTGTTTTTCCTGGTCCTGATTCCTTCTCCAACCCCTATGTCATAGGATCACTTCCCAAAAGAAACTACCTGCCCTACAGTCCTTCTCCAATACTGCTTTACAAAGCTAGCATTTAAATTCTTTTTCTATATTTTCTACATTTTTACATACAACTCTCCATTTTCTACATTTCCATCTTGGGTCTCTGGCTATACTTTGGGTTCCTACAGGGCAGGGATCAGATACTCTTCTTTGGGTTTTCTCACCGTTACTAATTCAGGACCTGGAAAATATCAGTAAACACATGTTGATTTTGATTTGACTAGACAAAAGGAAAGTATATGGCAGCAATCTGTGACCCTAGGGAGGCCAGAGCTCCTTCTGATGCAGGGCTTCTGCCTAATGTTGGATATGGCTGGAACCTGCCAGGGTAATTACTGCTTTTCCTTCTGTGAACCCAGCCTGCTTCCCTTCCAGGCCCCTGCACTGTTGACTTCCAGAAGTGGCAGATCATCAGGCTCTGAAATGGCTCAGGAGCCATAGCTGGGGGTTCACTCAAAGGGCTCACCTGCTCCTTCAAGGTGGTAGTGGGAGAGGGCAACCAGCCCCTCCTCCTTAAAGGCAGATCCACCTATCTGTTATCTGGTGCTGGAAACCACATATCAGAACCCTGCTACCACAAGGCCGTAGTCAGGGATCCACATGAGTAAATGAGTGACCTCAAAATGTGATACCAAATGACTGAAATTCACAGATACAGATAGTGACAGGCAGCTGGTAAAGGTGTAAAGAGCACTGGACATACTTGGCAGACAAAAGCTGTAGTTACGGGTCTGCCACTGATTCATTGCTCCTCTGGTCATGTACCACTTTTCTGCCCACAGTTTCCTGAAAATGAGAAGGCTGGACTGATGTTCTCAGAGATTCCCAGCTCTACGATTCTTAAATTGCAGAACTGGAAAGAACCTTATCTGTCTGGTATACTTCAGTGTTTTTTTTCCTTGAAAACTGCTCCCTGTTGGTGGCAACGCCAGGTCTACTCTAAACCCAACTAGGAGACAGCTGCACGTTTGCTCTTGCACACTCCTTGGCAGCCATGGCCATTTACCTGCCAAACTGGCACATAGGTGATTATTTCTAGTTTTTATTGAGATAATTATTGGTTTACATTCAGTGGTAAGAAATAATACACTTTGCCCAGTTCCCTCCAATGAAAACATCTTACAAAACCTATGTTATCACAACTAGAATATTGACATTGATACAATCCACTGATCTATTCAGAGTTCTCCAGTTTTCTTGTAATTATTTGTGTGTGTCTAAAGTCTGTATACATTTTATCCCCTGTTGTAAAACCACAAGTTCTAAAATCATAAAGATTCCTTTTATAACTGCACTTTGCCTTCCATTCCACCTCATTCCCCACTTGGTGGTTTCCAATTATCTTTTTATTTGTACATAATTTCAACCTTTTAGAAATGTTCCAGCTCACCCTGTATCCCGTGTCACTGATTCACTCACTCTAGCATTTTTTCTTAATTTTTGTATACACCCTGAGTCTTTCTGTCTACATGACACCACAGTGTGTATTTACAAGAATAGGGATATTTCACAGCACAAGTTATCAACATCAGCAAATTTAGCATTGATCCAATACTTTAGTCTATTATCGGGATTCCAGTTTTTTCAATTGGAATGTCCTCTATAGCATTTCCCCTCTCCAGTACGGACTCCAGACCCCAGCAGGTTTATTTATCATGACTTCTTAGCACCCTTAATCTGGAACATTTCACAAGCTTTCTTTTGTCTTTTATGACATTGACAAGTTTGAAGAAAACAGCCCTTTCCCTTTTTAATTGATGTTTTGGGTTTGTCTAAGGTTTCACCACCATTATATTCAGGTTATGTGTTCTCCCTGGGGATACTGCATAGGTGATGTGTTCTGAGGACATGACACCCATCTACTCTCACTGGTGATGATACTTTTGATGGCTGGTCAAGGTGCTCTCCGCTGCTTTGTATAGTAAATATTTTCCTCCTGCTACTAAGCCTAAACCATCAATTGGGGTACACGTTAACCCAAGCCAATACTTAAACCCCAGTAAAATCCCTCCTAATGTTAGCATGCATAGATGATCCTTGCCTGAATCGCTCTTCACACGTGTCTCTTCAAGTCCTCTTGAGGACTCGAATCCAGTTTTTCCACAGTTTAGTTTCCTCGCGTCTTTGGTTCTGGTCTGAGTCTTCACCATGCCCTTCCACGGTCCTCTATGCTCTTTGGCCAGAGACTAGGCTGAACCCGTAGACCGAGCAGCCTCAAATGGAAATGAGCTAATGTGGGTTGGTCGCCGAGAATCCGTCCACCAGTGATTTGCATAATAGAGTAGCCTGTGCGCCCTTACTTCCGGGACCGGTTCCCGAGTCCCCTCATCCCGGCCCCTCCCCCGCCCTTTGGTGGCATTGTGTTCTGATTGCCTGTTTTCCTCCTCGCCACCTCCCAGGTCTGTCCTCCCTCCGTTTAAGCCTCTAGCTTTGCTTTCCTAGGAGACTCCCCGGCATGCAGAAAGGCGGCGCGTGGACTTCCCTCGTGACCGCGAGTCCCGGCTCTAGACGGACACCGAGAAACCGAGAAGTGCTAAAGTAAATAAGAGTTCGGGGAGGGGTATGATAGCTTTTCCCGACTGGTACTTCGTGCCCAGCGGCACAGGTAAAAGAGCGGGACCGGGCCAAGGGCGACGGCAGCGGAGGCAGGGGCGATGCAGCCGCGGGCGCTGGGACGCGGCGGGCATCCTGGAGGGCGGCCCGCAGGTGGCAGCGCCGGGCGGCAGGCGGGGCGGTGGGAGGGGAGGGCTCGGCGCGCGTCGGGCGGTGACGGCAGCGCGGAGGGGAGGTGCGAGCCGCCAGCCGGCGGGGAGCCATGGCGAGAGGCCGCACGGCGGCACCCGCATCCGCGCCCGCGTCCGCTGCAGTCCCGTCCGCCGCCCCGGGGTCCACCCGGCCGCCCTCCCCGCGGGCCGCGAGCCCTTGACCCCCGCGCACCACAAGCGAGGCGCCCGTGGGAGCCCTAGAACCCCGACGACCCCTGCATCCCGGAACCCCGGACCCGAGCCCGGGAGCGCCAGGTCGGCCGGCGCGAGGCAGCCGGAGGAATCGCCGAAGCCAGACCCCACCGCGTGCGCCCCGGTGCCGCCCGGCCGGCTGCTGCGGAGGAAACCGGGGCCGCCGGGCGGCGGGGCTGGCCCGAGGACAGCGAGGAGGCGGCGGCCAGGAGAGCCGAGCGCCGGGGCAGCTCCGCGCCGGAGGCCCCCGGGACGGCGTCTGCTACCGGACCGCGCTCCGGGCGCACCCCGCGGGTAAGCGCGGGGTCCGCTTAGACGCGCCTCGGGCCCGGGGGTTCGGTGGGGAAGGACGCCGCTATTCCTGGAGTGTGGGCCATTGATGCGGTGGCCGCGGAAGAGGCCGGGCGCCGGGACCCAGCGGGGGCAGCCCTGCTCCGGCAGCGGACGCACCTGCGGGAGGCCCTCGGGGACCGGGAAAGGTGGCCGTAGGGGACCGTGTTGGTAACGCCGGGTGGCCTGGATTCCGGGTTCCTCTCTGTGAGGTGACCTTCAGAGAGCCCCAAGCTGAGCCAGGCCAGAGCGCGAGCAGCACCCGGATTCCCATTCGCAAAACTAATGTAAATTGCATTTTCTGAGTGTGTATTGAACCGGACAAATGGCTTTTAGGACCCTCACTTCCGTTTCTGAGAGTTAAGTTCACCCTGTCACTTTTTTGATGATGAATTTGTAAATTCTTTCCGAATCTTCAAGGATAGTCTCTTGCATGTAAGGAAATGCTTTGTTTATTCTTTTGCAAAGTTGTGTTTAGGAACACACCGAAAGCCCAGCTGCGCATGGGGCTGCGGCGAATGCACCCTCCTGGGTAAGACCCAGTGTTTTAAACCCTTCCCTGCACTTGTGCAGAAACTGAATGAGCATCCACTTTGAACACCTCCAAAGTATGTGTTTAGGCCTCAGATGTTTTAAAGAAGTATTTTTCTCATATGCTTCACTAGAATTTAGTTGCTTAAAACACATGTGTGTTGTTAGTGTTTTCTGCGGGTGTGTAGGTAGGATGGGTGCCCTGCCCTGGAGTGTCTGTTGGTTACTGTGGCAGGGGGTGACAGACACCAGAGAGAAACAAGTTAGGAACAGTGTCCTTGCAGTTTCCAAGTACAAGAAGAACAGAGGGACGGGTGGCCAGACAGAGCAGGGCTCAGCTCAGAGCAGTCTGCGCTGAGGAGGGTCTCCCGGGTTCCAGGGAAGCATGACAGGCAGGAAGCTTGGCTGGCATATAGAGTTGGACCTGGAGTGACAACATGGCGCCTTCCTCACTTGGTTTGGAAAGGTCACACTCATGTGCCCTTTGATCTCTGATCCCAGCTTTAGCGTAGAAGTGCACATGTAAGGACAGACTGAGCCACCCGGGGAGCTGAGCTGGGCTTGAGATGCTGTACTGGGTTAGGAAGCTCGTGTCCATGCGCAGCAGGTTTGGCCACAGTTGGACTTCAGCCTGTCTCCTTCCTGTCTGAGTCCCTAGGGACCTGTGAGATTTGGTTTCCCATCCCAGCTCTCCCTGGAGGGTGTCTCCATCCTGGTTGTGTTGCTTATGCTTGTTCTACAAGGACACTGGCCTTGGAATGGAAAACCTGGATTCAGATTTCAGCTACTCTCTTTTATAGCTCTTTCACCTTGGGCCCTTATTTAACTTCTCTGACCTCAGGGTTCCCCCTTTCCATCCAAAGTAAACAAAGAGTGTTTTAAATGAAAGCATCTGTCTGTAAAAGTGAGTGACTTGGGAGGGTTTTCAGGTCTCATCCAGTATGACAAGGTGTGTGACTTGGTGACCTTGTGACCCAAGCAGGGATAATAAAGTAATAGTATAATAGTAATTTCTATATTACAGGTTTATTGTGAGGATCAGATCAAATAATGTAAAATGGCTTTGAAAATAAAAGAGCAATGATTCCATTGAAAGGTGTTTCTAAAACTTTGTTTCTAAATTAATAGCATCATCATACTGTTTGCCATCTGAGGTGGACTTCTTCCTCTCATTGCATTTTTTGCCCCAGCCTCTGACCTTGCACATAGTAGGTCTCTGTAATTGTTAGATGACTCTTGAACTAAGCATCTCATGTGGGTTCTTAGATTTTCTTTTATACTCTTGGATGAGTGTCTGTTGTAGAGAGACATACTGTTGATCAGTATGTCTTCTCCCTGATTTTTCCTTCTTTTTGAACAAATATTCCCTCTTCTGACTTGCCTTCTTCTTAGGTGTATCCAAATGGAAGCCACCTGCAGTGTTGAAAAGTTCAAAGTTTTAGCAAAGGGATAGTAAATATAACATATGTGGAAATCTAGATGCCTCTGAGCTACTTAACAATACCAAACGCTGTGCAGCTGCTTAAGGAAAGGCTTTGACATATTCTGTAAAGGGCTGTGTGGCATTATTTTTCATTGAGAAGCTTATTTAATTATGTGTTTGTTAATAGTGCACCTGGTGTGGAAGAGGGTGCAACAACAGGACTAGAAGGTGAACTCTTAAAATCTATTTGGGTATCTGGTCCAGAATTCTAGGAAGGGCCGCTCCCAGCCTTGCCTGCTAGTGGTGAGAGCTTTCCTGAGAAGCACTGTAAATATCTTTGATGAAGAATGACAAATAGCAGTGATTTCTCAGGTGGCTGCTCACAGCCTTGGGAGTCTTTTCTGTCTCACACTGTCAAATGGATTACATTGAAGTTTCTTCAACTTGTCCCATAACCTTCAGGACACGGAACACTGGAAAGGGGCATTTGGGGTCTCAGCCTGAGGTTTCCAGCACTTTTAAGTGAGCTTTTCCGTGTTAGTTCAGTGATTCCTTTGAATAAGAACAGATTCCAGGTTCATCTTGTTTATTTTAACATAAAAATACTTTAATTGGGAAGAAGACAAGGATGCCCACTCACCCCACTGTTATTCAATATAGTTCTGGAGGCCCAATATAGTTCTGGAGCAATCAGACAACACAAAGAAATAAAAGGCATCCAGATTGGCAAGGAAGAAGTTAAACTGTCCCTGTTTACAAATGACATGATATTGTACATAAAAACCCTAAAGAATCCACTCCAAAACTACTAGATCTAATACCTGAATTCAGCAAAGTTGCAGGATACAAAATTAATACGCAAATCTATTGCATTCCTATACACTAACGATGAAGTGGCAGAAAGAGAAATCAGGAAAACAGTTCCATTCACAATTGCATCAAAAAGAATAAAATACCTAGGAATAAACCTAACCAAGGAAGTGAAAGACCTATATTCTGCAAACTACAAGACTCTCTTAAGAGAAATTAAAGAGGACTCTAACAAATGGAAATTCATCCCATGCTCTTGACTAGGAAGAATTAACATTGTTAAAATGGCCATCCTACCTAAAGCAATCTACAGATTCAATGTAATCCCTATCAAAATACCAACAGCATTCTTCAATGAACTACAGCAAATAGTTCTAGAATTCATATGGAACCACAAAAGACTCTGAATAGCTAAAGCAATCCTGAGAAAGAAGAATGAAGCTGGGGGGATTACGCTCCCTGACTTCTAACTCTACTACAAAGCCACAATACTCAAGACAGTTTGGTACTGGCACAGGAACAGACCCATAGACCAATGGAACAGACTAGAGAGCCCTCATATAAACCCAAGCATATATGGTGAATTAATATATGATAAAGAAGCCATGGACATACAATGGGGAAATGACAGCCTCTTCAACAACTGGTGTTGGCAAAACTGGACAGCTACATGGAAGAGAGTGAAACTGGATTATTGTCTAACCTCATATACAAAAGTAAACTCAAAATGAATCAGAGAACTGAATGTAAGTCATGAAACCATAAAACTCACAGAAGAAAACATAGGTAAAAATCTCTTAAATTTTCTTTTTCCTGAATGTATCTCCTCGGACAAGGGAAACAAAATAAAAAATGAACAAATGGGATTACATCATGCTAAAAAGCTTCTGTAAGGACACCAGCAGAACAAAAAGGCATCCTACGGTATGGGAGAATATATTTGTAAATGATATATCTGATAAGGTGTTAGCATCCAAAATATATAAAGAACTCACACACCTCAACACCCAAAAAGCAAATAACCCTATTAAAAAATGTGCAGAGGATATGAACAGACATTTCTCTGAAGAAGAAATTCAGATGGCCAAGAGGCACATGAAAAGATGCTCCACATCGCTAATTATCAGGGAAATGCAAATTGAAACCACATTGAGATATCACCTCACACCAGTTAGGATGGCCAACATAGAAAAGACTAGGAACAACAAATGCTGGCGAGGATGTGGAGAAAGGGGAACCCTCCTACACTGCAGGTGGGAATGTAAATTAGTTCAACCATTGTGGAAAGCAGTATGGAGGTTCCTCAAAGAACTAAAAATAGGAATACCATTTGATCCAGGAATTCCATTCCTAGGAATTTACCCTAAGAATGCAGGAGCCCAGTTTGAAAAACACATATGCACCTCTATGTTTATTGCAGCACTATTTACAATAGCCACGAAATGTAAGCAACCTAAGTGTCCATCAGTAGATATATGGATAAAGAAGATGTGGTACATATACACATGGAATATTATTCAGCCATAAGAAGAAAACAAATCCTATCATTTCCAACAACATGGATGGAGCTAGAGGGTATTATGCTCAGTGAAACAAGCCAGGCAGAGAAAGACAAGTACCAAATGACTTCACTCATCTATGGAGTATAAGAACAAAACAAAAACTAATGGAACAAAACAGCAGCAGACTCACAGAACCCAGGAATGGACTAACAGTTACCAAAGGGAAAGGGGGAAAAAGGGGCATTACAATTAGCACACATAATATAGCGGTTGGAGGGAACACGAGAAAGGCAGTATATACAGAGGAGACAAGTAGTGATTCTATAGCATCTTACTATGCTGATGGACAGTGACTGTAATGGGGTATGTGGGGGGGACTTGATAGTAGGGGGAGTCTAGTAACCATAATGTTCAAGTAACTGTACATTAATGACTCCAAAATAAAAAAATTTAAAAAAGAAGAAAGAAATCCTGCCATTTATGACAACATGGATGGAGCTAGAGGGTATTATGCTCAGTGAAATAAGCCAGGCAGAAAAAGACAAATACTACATGATTTCACTTATTTGTGGAATATAAATACAAAATAAAACAAAATGAACAAAACAGCAGTAGACTCAGATACTGAGAAGTGACTCGTGGTTACCATGGGGGAGGGGTTGGTGGGGAAGGTGAGGGGGATAAAATGGCACAAAAATTCTCAATCATAATATAACGTTATCATGGGGATGGCAGTACAGAGTGGGGAATATAGGCAGTGATTCTGTAACGTCTTCCTATGTTGACAGTAACTGCCCTGTTGGGGGTGAGGATATAATAATGTTGAACCACTGTGTTGTATACTTGAAAGTAATATAAGATTGTATACCAATTATACTTAAGTAAAAAAAAAAGTGGTCAAGAAAGATGTTCCTTAATTTCCCTGGGACTCTGGGACTCCCCACAGCAGCATGTATATTCCAGTCTGAGAATCTTGGAACTGCTTATTTCTAGGGTTTCTTCTCCAGACTTTTTGATATGCCAGGAAACTGAAAAGCAGTAGGTAATCTCCTTCCTAGAGGCAGTGGATTTTGTACTGGCACCTGAAAAGGATACCCCAGTAGCAAAGGAAAATAGGTGTATTAGTAAGTTAAAAAATACAGCAGAATATAAATCATCTGGGTTTGAAAGTTAAGGAAGACCATGCTCTGAGTAGTAAGTGGACTTTGAAATATTTTCTTTCCCCTAAGAATTAGTTTAAAAATAACTGTGAACATATGGATTAAGTGCTTTGACCTTTTCTGAAAAGTATTCTGTTAGCCTAACCTCTTCAGTGCACCTCTTTCTTTATTGCGCTCCTCCTTAATGACTAGAATTAGTTACTAGATGGTGTGATTATGTTGATTAAAAAACGTCACTGTCTCCTGACTAATGTCACACATGTTATAAGCAAATCCTACATTCAGTTACATAGATGTACGTTTATTTATGTCACTTCAAATGGATATTAATTAGAATAAAGATACAGAGTTTTATTTTATCTTCTCCAGGTTTGGAGAAAGCTAGCATCTATACATACAGAGAATGCTAGGATTTTAGACATTTTCCATCAGTTCCTCTGGTTATTTTGGTAAAATCAAAAAGTCCTTGTAGGTAGTTCTTTAACATCAAGAGCATATGCTGTTGGATTTTTTTTGATGATAACATTCTGCAAGCTCTCAGTTTTTAAGTTTTGCAGAAAGCAGAGAAGGCGTGGTGTAGCCAGGCTTGCCTACTTTTATTATAGTCCTTATAAAGTAATTTCCAGTTTGGGATGTGGTCAAACATAAAGTGTCTTCCTAGATTGTTGGGAATGGTTTGATTTCATTTGTATTATTGAATCATTAATTTGAACCATGAGGAGCCGGTGAGCATGGAGTACAGAAGCCGTCCTTGAATTTGTCTGAGTGCCTTTGGGACACATTCTTGGGGAGTGGGGAGGAAACATTTCTTTGACTTCGAGAAGCCTTGGTTGTCCTCATTGTGATGAGAATGTCAAGAAGTGAGTTAATGCAAATGGTTCGGCCATTTATATCAAAGGGACTTAGAGTCCAGATTCATGGTAGAACCAAGTGGCTGTGGCCTGGGTGGAGAAGCGCAGTGGGAAGAGGGTGATGCTCATGAGAGGCAGATCCTCACTATTGCTGTTCCTCAAGGCTGATACCTGACTTTTGGTTGCATGGTTCCATCTAATTGCAGCAGTGTGAGGCCTCACTGCTCAACTCAGCGTCAGCATCACCTGGGAGCTCGTTAGACCTGCAGAATCTCAGACACTGACCAAGACCTGCTGAATTTGAATCTGCAGTGTAACCATATCCACAGGTAGTATTAATGATTGGATGCCCCGTTATGGTTACACAGAATTTTCTTTCCTGAGACATGAGGCCAGATGAGGTAAGAACAAGTGGCCAGCACACCCCTGTTCTCTGCCCTGTTGGGAGGGTTGGTGCTCAAAGTTGGATTCAGCCTCTTAACCTTCACTGAAAGGAAAAGGGCTAGGGTTAATCAGAAAATATTGTGGATCACATTCTTTCCCCAGTGTCCACCTCTTCCCTTCCTAAATTATGTGCAGTGAGCTGTAAAATGGGAGGACCCAGGGAGGAAAGGGCAGACTCATTCTAACCCAGGAGTAAGGAAAAGCAGCCCAAATCCAGCTTGTTGTTTACCTTCCCAAAGCACGTCTAAAACCTTGGCTGGTGTTCTGAATTCTTAAAATGATGCTAGACCAGTGAGCAGGCAGTCCTTCCTAAATTCTAGCCAAGTAGTTGAAGCATTTACCCACACGCTTACCTACCTTTTGTTGAGCAAATCTAAAGTGCCAGGTCATGTGCACTGTGGCTCTGGGAGGTTGCAGGACTGAGTAACAGAATGGATTTGACCACGGAGCCTCCGGTAAGAGGTATCATACAGGTTTGTCTTTCTGTGTCTGGCTCATTTTACTTAGTGCAATGCCTTCAGGTTTCGTCCATGTTGTAGTATGTGCCAAAATTTCATTCCTTTTTAAGGCCAAGTAATATTCCATTGTGTTATGTATGCCATTTTCTTTATCCTTTCATCTGCCTTTGGACACTTGGGTCTCTTCCCCCTTTTGGCTGAAATGAGTCATGCTGCTGTGAACATGGGTGTCCAAATCTCTGAGTCCTTGCTTTCACTTCTTTTGGATATATACTCACAAGTGGAATTACTGGATCCTGGTAATTTCATGTTCAATTTTAGAGGATTCACCATGCCATTTTCCTCTGTACCATTTTATATTCCTGCCGGGAGTACACAAGTGTTGCAGTTTCTCTGCATCCTCTCTGACACTTGTTATTTATTTGTTTTTGATAACTGCCATCCTGATGGGTGTGATGTGGATATTTCTTTTGAATCACTTTTCTCCATTTGGTTCTTCTCCCAACACTTGCCAGGATCTTCGCCTTGCTTTGAACTGGGAGGAATTCATGAAAAGTAGTGGCTATTAGTACCTTGCTTCAACCCTTCCTCCTTATTGCTGTTTAACTCTGCAGGCATTGCATTTAATTTATTTAGTAAGTGTAGTGGGACTCACATTAGTAAGGTTTCCAGTAGCTGCTAGTGTTTTAATGTCTGCAGGTCTGTGTGTTTACGGTCTTGCCTTCTATTCTTCCCTCTCGTTTCTTATATTTTGAATGGGGTTCAAGAATGTGTGAGTTAGGGGATCAAAGAGGATAACAGAAGGGCAACTCAGTTAAGATATTTTGTGATCCTGAATGTAGGGTTCTGAGAATAAACGTGGTCTGCCTGTTGCACCTTGACTTTGAGTGGTGTTTGGTGGTCTGACATTTGCAGAGATCTGGCAGCACAGTTACAATGTCAAAGGTCATTTTTTATTAAAAGAGGGGTGCAAAGATGTAGGCCTTGCCTGCACTGTAGGATTTCAAACCTGAGAACAGATTTTGAAGTTTCCTTAAACTAAAGGGACAGACAGATTCTTGCCATGTTATGAAGTTGGAATTGGTAAGCATTGTGACTGGGGATTAAAAAGATCAAAAAAACATACAAAAACCCAAACCTCTGATTCAGGAATAGCAATATAATGATTTAGAGGAAAGGTGGGGGAAGGAAGATGAACAATCTTGTCTGTGTGACTCACCGGCACCGAGCCTGTGAGTGTACATGTGGGCGCGGAGTCTCTGGGACAGTTACCGGCGTTCACAGAAGAGGAGTGTCATCCAGATGTAATTTCACTTTGCATCTAGAATATGTTTTAAATAAAATGCTGAATACTATGGAATTGTACAGTTCTGTTTTATGTACCTGAGTGGGGTGTAGCCTTTTCATTTATTTGTTAAAAAATTAAAACCTCCGGATTTAACAGCCTGTCTGGACAAACTATAGGGCACTACTGATGTGTTTGAAGCTGTGTTCCTTTTTTTTTCTCTTTAAGATTGGTGCTTTGTTAGGGATAGGTGTGGTGAACCTAGCAAACAAAGAACTGTTTATGACAGCCAGTTCTTGAATCACTACCTTATGTGATAACTTCACATGGTAATTATTAAGAGGATTACATGAATTGATATGAATGCTTGCCTCAGAGTAAGCATTTTGTGGTAGCCATTATTATTGTTGTCATTGAACTCCTTATGATCCATTTGCCTGCAGATAATTTCAGAGCACATATTCTGTGCCACACCCTGGAGATCTGTGCAGGCCCTCACTGTCATGGCAGCTGTGACAGGCGCGGCCCTCGTGACCTGAGGTGCTGAGGTATGGGCTGTGGCTGCGGCTCACTTGGCAACTACCTTCCCTTCTTTGATTTTGAGGAGGAAGGATTAACTTTGCAAGGATCCCAAGGCAATAGAGAAATTCATTTGGACTTGATATTTGGACACAAATATCGACATTTCAAAGGTCTCTTGTGGAAGAACTGTAGTTTGATGTTAGGTATTTGAGAAAATATCTTTCTATTCAAGAAAATAAGCAGAATAGTCCTATTATAACAGTGGATAAAAGGTGGGACAAGCAAATCACTGGGAAAATAGACTAAAATGCTGACTGATGTAGTACGTGTGTTTATACTGTACTTGTAAGATAGGAAAATAGTTTGTATTATTAATTGAGAAATTCTAAGTACTAGGGAATGCCATAGCAACTATTGAATGTGAACTTGAAGAACTTAACTTGTAGCTGCGCTGTGATCTCATATGGAAGGGAATAAAGAAAATAAATGTTCCTGGGAGTTTGCGTATCTTATAATAAGACTTTAGCCTTTATGGTATACTGAATTCTCTATTTGGCAAGAGGCAGCATGGCAGAGAATGAGCAGCATAATCAAGTCTTAGAATTTCCCTCATAGACTCAGAAGATATATCCACGTTTTTCACTGGGGTGGGAAAGGGATGCGGTTTGTTGACTTTCCAAACAGAAGACCCACGGCAGGCACACGTGACCTCGGGAGAATCAGCTGGCTTCTCCTCTGTGTGTGTGCCCCGGCCAGGTCATGCCCAGGCCTCCTCCACCTTCCGAATGACTAAGACTGGCAGGGGAAGCTCTGGCTTCACTCAGGGCGAGAGGGTTTGGTGATTTCATCTGGAGCCGAAAGTGGCAGTGCAGATGGAAAGAAGTGCATTCCTTTGAATGGTGTTGAGAGATAAGGCAAGCTCTCTGCAGAGACAGTGGAAGGGTTATGGAGGGGCGGAGCCAGCGATGAGGCTGAAGTTTCTGAATTTGATTAACAGCTCAGTCGTGCAGGGGTAAGAACCCGAGATCCTGATGCTTAGGGCAGAGGGTCAGCTGGTCCTGACACTTGGAAGAGAGATCCACGTGTGAGATAAGGGTGTGGGGACGCCCCCTGTGGGCGGTTGTGAGACCTCATGCAGCAGAGTTCACAGAGGACTGACCGGAGGCCGGCCTGGAGGCCAGAAGTGCAGGGGGTGTGTTCTTGTGGTGACAGTAGGATTCATGGAGTGACTGCTGTGAGAAGCCAAGGAAAGGCTAAGGCATTCTTTGGGGTGTTTATACATAGTAGATATGCAGGTATTTGTAGATCTGTATCGCTTGGTTTTCTGTGGTTCAGAAGAGATCCTTGTTCAGCTTTGTGAACATCTTATAGTAACATGTTGACTGTAAGAGTCTTGTGGCTGTGAAAATTGGCAGGTTTCCTTGCCAAGTTTCAGATAGACTTGGCTCGTGGGGTCCATGTTTTATGAGTTTTTTTAAATTAGTGAACTCTGAATTGGAGATTTTACTGCATTTTCTTGTGATTCTTGCATATCTTTCTTGAGGTTTTACAGTTTGTACTATTGGAGCTGCAAAATCCTGGTAAAATTGGAGGGAATTAGAAATCACTTGTTTTAGCAAAGATACTTCCACAGCCCCATCAGGATGAAAAAAAATAAGAAACTTGACAATACCAACTGCTAGTGATGATGTGGAGTAGCTGGAAGCCTCATGCACTGCATGTAAAGAAGAATAATCACTTGGAAAATTGGCAAGATTTTCTAAAGCTGAACATACATGTGATGACCCAGTGCCACACTCCTGGGCATGTTCTCAACAAGAACGAGTACTGTGCACTTTGCTCATGGTAGCTTTACTCATGAGAGCCCCAACCTGGGAAATCCCACATGTTCATTAGCTGTTGACTCTATAAACAAATGGTGATATATCATGCAATGGAATACTACTCAGCAATAAAAAGGAGCAAAATATAAATACATGGAATACATGAATGAAGTTCCAGGCAAATTGGGGAGCCAAAGATACCAGACATAAAAGTATATGCTGTATAATTCCATTTTCAGGAAGTTCAAAAACAGGCAAAGCTATACTGTAAGAAGAATCAGAACAGTGATGATTACCTAGGAGGTAATGGCTGTGTATGTAAGTAAAAATTAATGGAGCTGAATGCATAAGATAATTAAAGGTTTTAGTTAATTTAGCAACTATTAGAGTTTAATGCAACATAGTGTAAGATATTTATTCCACAGAATTTACCTGTGCTCTAACTTGTGGTTTTCATTCCAGGTACCCTTCCTCCTGTCCCTACTGGAGTCATTAGAACACACACTGCCCTAGGAGATGGCCATTAAGATAGCTGTTGACCAGTCTTTGGGATGATTAAGGGAGTCTGGGTGTTCAGTCTTTTTCCCTTGGTTCTCCTAGGGTGTATTGCTTTTATTGTGGGCCAGGGCCTGGCCTTGGGTGAAATGATTGAGCCTAAGGTATAAAATTTAAGGTGGAGGAGTTGCCAGAAAATATAATCAAGATAAAAAAATTTGTAGGCATTATTTCTAAAAAATATTAAATTATGCAAAGAAATCTATGATGAACAAAATACGAACATTTTGAATAAGGGTAGAATTGGTATTACTGTCTTTTCCTTTTGCCTCATGCCTAGATCGGGCTTTCCAGGGTGCTCCTGTGGGCTGCAGAGACACAGA